AGGCAGAACTGTCACCAAAAAGCTGTTTGGGAGCATCATTAAGTAATAAGGAAACATTTTTCCCCCCTCACCTTGCACTTTTGGAAGTTTCCAGGCTGGGAGGTGTTTTTGTTTCAGGTTGTGACAGCAATGGCTGCATATATGCTGCAGCTCTGGAAGCAGCTGTGAATAATGGAAAGGGGTCTGAACACAAGAAGTCACTGTGAGTGCTTGCTGTACTTCCTTAATGTATGTGACATTGACATAATACACCCCAGGGCTTTCTGGATCGGATGGCGTTTGCCTGTTCCACGTGCTGGTTTTATGAACAGCAATCAAGCTGTAAACATGTAGGCAGCTGAAACACATGTAGGCAGCGTGTGTGGTGAGTGGGGAGGGCAGAGCCAGGGTCAGGGCAGCAGAAACAAAGTTCTGCCATCAGAGGAGAGGACTCCTGCTCCCTGGCAGGGCTCATGGTGGGCAGCCTGGATGCTGGTGATGCTGCATCACCATTTTGTCTGATTGTATAACACACACAGCACCTGGAGACAGCTTTTGTGATGCACAGAAACTTAACCAGATACATGTCACAGGAGCTGATGTGTGAGCTGGGTACACTCCTCACCAATGTAGAGAAGTTAAAGCCTTCATTTCCAAGCAGAGAGGCTGGATAGCAGGGTCATCCAAGCCCCTCTTCTTAGTCTGTGAGGCAGTGGCCCATCAATCAGGTACACATTTCACAGAGCTGCATTAGTGAATCAGCAGCACTGAGAATCCTGTTTCTCCCTCCCACATCCCCATCCTTCAGAAGGAAAAGCAGGATTAATCCCTCTCTGATTTCCTCCTGTAACTCCTTCTCCCTGACACCCCATTCCAGCTTTCATCCTATCTGGGCTATTTAGTCTAGAGCAGGGAAGACAGAGAGGAGACATGATAAGAGTCTTTAATTATAGAAATGGCTTATGCAAAGAGGAAGGCAATAAATTGTTATCCACATCCATAGGGAAAACACAAAAAAAGTAATGGGTTTAAATGCAGCAAGGGAGACCTGAGCTCAGAACTAGAATAACTTCCTTGCTGCAGGGGTCACTGGGCACTGGAGGGGATTGCCTGGGCAGGCTGGGGGATCTCCACGGCTGACAGGGTTGAAAAAACACTTGAGACAAACAGGTCAGGAGTGGTTTGTGTGGGGGTGGATGAGGTGACCTCTTCAGGTCCTTTCTAGCCCTGCTTTCTTCTATACCATGGTAGTAACTATTCCAGCCTCACTCCTTGGCAGACAACCACGACAAAACTCCACTCCTGTGTTTTTTGGTACAAATTGACAATCGTGTGGCAGCAACACAACTGGGTCAAGGAACTGATGAAGCCAGAAGACAGGAAGATCTCTCAGCACACAACAGGCATAGCTGTAAGGCGCTGCATCACCCAATTATTCTGCCTAATCCTAAACAATTTAATTTTCTCTTCAACAGTCAGCAAGAGAAACTCAAGCTCCTAAGAGCTCATCAGCTCTGCACAGGACAAGGGTTCACACTCACAAACACAAACTGATTCCAAAGCAGTGGCACCTCAGCAGCCTCTCCACAAGTAAGACAAGCAGAGTCACTTTGCCCTGTGCAAGATTACCAGATACCTTGGGCTGTGCTCGTGTTGGCAGCTGGTACAGCCTCATCCTGCACAGCCCTTGCAAAAAGGAGCATCCCTGGAGATGCTCTGCTCTGAAATGCACTTCTCACCAAATTGCACTGAAAATGGGATGGATCCTATGTTTACATAAGCATATCCTTAAGTGCATTGCTGGATTGGGGCCTTACCCAGATACATTTCAGGCTCCTGGAGGTCAGTAGGGATTGATTGGCTTCTCTGCATGACCTGGGCACTGAAAGCCTACATGTGTCAGAATGAGGATATTTTACAGTATATAATTTTTCTCACTGAGTTTTAGATATCCTAGGCAGAAAAGATGGCCAAGAGCAACAAAGTCAGAATGTGGTCTCTTCTTCTAAAAGAGAGGCATGAGTGAACCCTAACAGATGTAATTTGTATCATTACTGCTGATGAAGTTAGCAACCTTTAGCAAGGAGACGTGATCAATAGCTACTTGAGAAGATACAGCTGCAGATATCCGAATGGACATGAACAAGGAAGAGAAGTGTAAAAGGCAATAGCTGAATATTTAAACCAGATGAAAGTTGTAAGGTAGGTTATTGACCTTGAAAGAACCAGAAAAGTAAAAAAATGTACAGGAGGGCAACAATAATTTATGTACTTACCCTGCACAAATATTAGAATAGCTTAATCAAGAGTGTAGTAAATTATGAACACAGTAGAGCTTTATTAATGATAGAGGACTTTATACAGAAAGGCTGGCATAGTTGGAAAGTGGGGTAAGAGAAATTAATTTTAACTCTTTTGTTTCCAGGCTTGAACAGTCCTTTTTCTGCCATGCAGTTATCTGTCTTACACTTGGTAATTACATATCTGTTTCCAGATCCTTTGTGACAACAGCAGAACTCAATGTCTGGAAAGCAACAGGATACCAGGAAGGGGCACCCATGGAGACAGAGTTGATAAGTGCTAAAAGCTTTATCAAAGATGATAAAAGCTGAAAGCAGTTCAACAAGGATCTGTTTCTAGCATTGTAGAAAGAGGTGGGAATTTAGGAAATGACAAAGAGGCTCTCAGACCTTTACCATGGTTACTGTAGTTGTGTCCAGAATCCCTAGTCTTGGATCATACATGCTGATGTCCCTAAAAAAGACCAAAGATGACAACCACCTCCCACAATCAAAGCAAATCAAGTCAAACCAAGCCAAGCAGGGTAAAGTTTGGTATGGGAACAAGGGGCCACAGCATGAAGTGGTTCACATGTGGTGGCACAGAAAGTTGGGCCAGGACCTCCACATCCCATTTCCCATCCAAATGCCCAATCTAGACCAAAGGAAAGAACATTTCTGTCAGCAAGAACAAACTTTTTTAAACTGGCTAAAAGAATTCTGATTAGGAAAAAAACCTCAACCCCCCCCCACTAAACCAACCAATCAAAAAAAACCCCCAAAAACCCCAGCCAAAAACCTCCCCAAAACCAAAACAAAAAACCACAACAACAACAATAAGAAAACCAAACCAAACAAAAAAAACCCCCAAAAAACAAAAAACCCAAGAAAAAAATCCACCCTAAGCAGTTTTTAATGTATGTAGTTTGGTTTGCAAAATATGTGTATTAATCCTGACCTGTTTATAGCAGTAGAAGGGACAAATCAGTCATCACAGAACTTGTAATTGAACGTGGAAATTTATCTGTAATCATATCAAGTCCCAGCAGTGACTCTAACAACTTCTTGGACCATTGGCATCAGCAAAAGAAGTAATTCCACAGAGAAAACCTTCAGGGGCACAGTTGGCACCAGTGAATCAGGGCATGGTCAGCTGCATTACTGGGACACACCAGCCTGCTGATCACTGAGCTCTGTGACTGCTTTTTTCTGCAGGAGGGGTGGCTGTGCTCTCCTCCATCCCTGAGCCTGCATTTGATGAGATCAGTGGCCGAATTCTCACCTCCATCCTCAGGGTCAGGCCTAAGGGGCTGGCACTGTGCTGCTCATTATTCACCACTTGCCATGTACAGGTGACCTGAAAACCTGACCCACACCACACCGAGTCCCCTTTGGATTCCTCTGTGCTCCAAATCAAGCCTCAAGAGAACAATTAGAGTGAATGAGCTCAAATAAAAATGAATTTTTGGGAGTGTATTTATGATCAGTTTTGTGTGCTGCCCTTTGCTCCCTGCAAAACCCCTGGCTCAAGTGTAAAGCAGCTGAAGAAAGTTCTAGGTAGGAGAGTATTGCATGTTAATAGACATACACAAAATAGCTGCTTACAGGGGAAAAAAGTAAAGATGGCTGAGAAATAAAAACTATTCAACAGCATCACCATCCATAGAGAATAAATTTCACAGGTAGGATAGTGCAGATACAGCTATAATGGAAACATGAATCTTCAACTGCTTTACATTATTGTATTTTCCCTTCCTTGTAAAGCTTGTTGAAAAAGCAGAATATGCTAATAAATCTCTCTGATTTGTCTCCCTTGAAGTTTTCTGTGAGCAAAGTAACACATTCTATTTGAACTTCATAATTCACATGCCATTATTTTTAGTTATGTTCTTTTCAACCCTCAATGGGCAGCTAATGAATTTAAGAAAATGTATAGTCTCCTTGAATTACCTACTGTAGTTTCTCACCAGAATTAGCTTGAGCTCAGTTGGCAGCTACACTCTAAAAAATCATCATTAAAACTTATCTCAATGCAGGTGTAATCTGGACAAAGAAGTTTTCCCCCCCATAATCTCCTTCCCTTGTGTTGTTCAATATCTCATCCTGTGCAGTTCAAGGCTGTAGTATCTGAAGGCTGAAGTATTTGGGCTCCTCCATCTGCAAGAATCAAGAGATAAATATGTATTTATTGGGCCACAACAGGTGCCATCCTTTTACAATGAGATAATTATGTATATGCAGGGAGGGTATTCCCATGGGACCCGGGGTGGACAATTTGAATTAGGCTGGAAAGGCAAAAGCTGGGATGGGGTCTGCAGCTTCTGCACAGCAGTGGCACTGTGCACAAACACTCCTGGGCCCCAGGGAAGTGCCAAAAGGAGGCAGGAGGAAAAGGAGAGCAGCTCCCTTCACTCCATCCTGCCTCCACTGCAGCTTCACAGTGGGAAGCAGTGGCTGCCCAGCTTCACCCTCACACCTGCAAACCCTTCCATGGCCTCATTTCCTCCCTCCTCCACATCCTCCCACAGAAATGCGTTTATTTGTTAAACAGAAGGACTGACTTCTTTTGGTGAAGTATTTTAAGATGGTCTGTGTCTGTATATGAAAATGGGGGAATTATTTTCCTAAAGAATCCCAATTTTCTAAATGTTACAGGAAATTGTTTTTAAGGGAAATTCATAACTGTTTTTGAATTTTTTTGCACTTGCAGTCTCTTCCTTGCAGGAGAGTCTCATCCACATTTCTTCATGAGATATTCAACATATGCATTCATTTCCTGTTTAAAGTAAGAAAAAGATCCAAACCCATAGATGTTAATAGAAAATAAAATTTTTTTCCTGATGCTGCAAAAATCTTTCACAACAGTGAAATACAGAGTTAAAAAACACTAATACGGAAAAAAAAAGTCATTTTAATCCATCACAGTGAAACACACTAGTCAATACCACCTTAACACAACACATCAAAAAAACCAAAGTAACACCTGCCTGTGAAATACTTGATTCTTATGAAATTGTTCCTTGAGAAAATGGTCCCATAAAACTTTTTAACTCTACTTAATCAGCACAAAACAAATCAAAGAAGATGACTCTCATTTCCTTTTCTAAATGAAAAATGTCCATTTCATGGAGGAAAGGTCAGCTCTTAGGCAGAGTGCTAGTGCACTTTAGAGAACCTGAAATCTGCACCTGGACTTCCTCACATCCTAAATATTTCCCTCCTTCAGTTTGGCTGAGAATTGCTGTTTAAAACTACCACCTTCTTCCTGGTCCCTTCATTACTCTTATGGTTATGTCTTTCTTAGAATTTACTCTTTATGTAACGTTTTCTGGATAAAGCACAATAAATTCTGTTTTATGTCCTAATTCCAGCTAGACAGCTATAGAATAGCTGTTAAATAGCTACTGTGACATGTCTGATAAATAGCCATCTAACCACATTATAAATAATCTTAAATTCAGCCCAATAAATATTGCAATAAATTTGTGTTTGCCAGTACATCTGTATAAATATCAGTAATAAGATAGACCAGAAAGGCTAACCATACTAAAGAGCTTTGATTTTGGAAAAAGGCCATGTGCAATATTTCATTCTTCTTAGAGGGGGAAAATAAAAACACACACACACACACACACAAAAAAGAGAGACTTTTTTTTTTTAAGCAAATAATATAGTGTTGGGAAAGGAAGAGATTGTTCAACAACCTGCAATTTATTTAGATGACAAAAAATGAGACATGCAAAGTGGGGCATGTTTAGCTGAATGTCTCTGGCAGTTGCACAACATCTGCATGCATTAAAAAGCAATAACTTTCCAATTATTAATTAACTCCTATTGCCAATACCCTTACCAACAGCTGGAAACATCCACTGAACAAGACACACAGGTCTTTCTCTTCCAGACTGCAATCCTGTTCTGACTGCCAAAAGTTTTGAAAAATATTCCAAATATTTGGCTGACTGTTCAGTAGCCTCATCAACATCCCCCTCACCACCATTTCTTCACCTACCACCCAATTTTGCCAACCTCTCGATGACAGAAGCCAGGAGCATCTCAGCTGGAAGAGACTCTCAGAGACTGACAGCTAATAGAAATGCTTAATTGCAAAGAAAAGCTGCTCTGAGCTGGTATTTAGTATTTGTTTTTGTTAATTCAGACAATACACTAATATCTTCTGGTAGGAAGGAGAGGTCTGTCCCCACCTGCCACGCCTGATGCTTGTGCACCACCAAGCCCTGCCTGGAGCCACCCTGAGCCACCACCCAGGGGTCAGGCTCCTCATCTGTGCTCTGCCTCCCAGAAAAACATTCTGCATTTCCACTGCTCAGACTTGGACGTTTTTAAGGTTCCTTCCTGGTTTTGCTTTCTCATTAGCTGAAAGACCATTGACTCGTATGAGCAGTGATGACAATACCTGCCACAGTTCTGTGTTTATTCTGGTCTATTTAGTTTGGGTTGTTTATATTTTATTTCTATTTATAACTTAGCAAAAAAAAAAATCCTTTCAGAGTAAGCTTTTAATACCACTGTTCAGTCTTCATTCCCTATTTAAATCCTTCTGGAGTTCTGTGATCAGGAGATAGTACTACCAGCTTCCCCTGGTGTAAGTTTGCTCATAGAAAAAAAAGGGAACACAAAAAAAATTACACAATAGCTCTATCATTACACAAAGAATGCGTATAAAGATCTGCATAATCTAATATTTTCCACAGGGTTACACTAATGGGTCATGTACTCTGCATTAATTTCTAATGGCTCAGTTTTGGTAAGGACTGTGGAAGCACACAAATTATGAGAAAAAGGGAATACTTCTTCTGCATTCAACTTCAGCTATCAGTGGTGGCACCCCAGGGAAGTGGTCACAGCCCCAAGCCTGGCAGAGTACAAGAAGTGTTTGGACAATTCTGTCCGGCACTCTGAGAGCACTCTGATGTGTCTCCTGGGGTGTCCTGTGCAGGGCTAAGAATTAGACTTGATCATTCTTGTGTATTCCTTCCAAATCAGCAAATTCTGTGATGTGCATTGAAGATGTGAAAGGTTGCCCATGGAAACCTAAAATTTGGGCAAAGCAGTGCAGATGTGAAAGCAGCAATTTTCTAGGAGTCTGTGAGCCATGCCAGAAACACATCATACACCTACACCCAAAGTGGCTTCTCTTCTGCTTCTTGGAGAAAACTTGGAGTTTCTGCATCAGCTGAATGGATTGGCAAGAATTTCCCAGGAGCTGGGGTACCTGCAGTAGGAGAGACCAAAGCTTCTTGCTCTCACAGGTGACCACTCTTTCCATTCCATCCATGGTCACCCTTAGACTGCCCCACTCTTTCCCCACAGGGGTCTGCATCTCCCACCTCTGTAGATGTCTCAGCATGGAAGGAACAGTCTTGGACCTCCTCAGATTCTGCATGGTGCCATCAAAATCCACTCCATCGTCTCCAGTTATGGTGAAGATCAGTTATGATCTTCTCAGTTATCATCTTCTCCAGTTATGACTGCTTTTCTGCCTGAGGAGAAACATTGCAAATGCAGAGGTGCTGATCACACAGGGTGGTTTTCTCCAGATGGGATCTAAACTCTTAATTTTATAAATAAATAAATACAGCACAGATATTGACAGTGTCCTGTTCATGAGATATCTCAAAGAGGGACAGAAAGGCTCCCAGCAGATCACAGGGCAGGCACATTGGTACAGAAAGCCCATTTCCCAACTGCTTTACATCCCTCCATCTACCTGTAATGAGACTGTGAAGTATGAGGCTCAATTAATAGGTCAAGGGCTAGAACATATCTAATTATAAACCCATTTACTCCTAGCCTAAACATCCTAATCTTAGCCCCAAAATATACAAGTCTGCCTGGAGTGACACAAAGCAGCGAGAGCCCATGCAGGGACTTGCCAGCCTCTAAGAGTCCATGTTGTTCTTTCAGTTATCACAGTTTATTTTTTGGACATTGAGACTCCAGAGGCTGCAGAGCAGCAAGGCACCACAGAGAATACAGTGATTCAAGGATGAGGGGAACCTTTTCTACAATACCACTGGCTGTCTGTCTCCATATGATGTACTGCAAAGGTTAATTTGTTTTGAAATCCTCATTTTTAATTTGCATTACTGATCAACCTAGCAATTATAAATGTTAATCAATTCTTCAGTGGCCTTAAATTCAGAGATTGAGACTGTTGATCTAAATAAAAATTCCATCCCTTGCTCTGATTTATTAAAACTTGAGTGATATGGAGAACCCACTGTGTCAGAGCACCGATAGGAGCATGCTTTCAAAGCACATCCTTAATTAATTTTAAAGCAGGATGGACCAATTTATATCACTTTGATTTAAATCACTTTTGTTAATTGTGATTTAAATCACAATTTAAATAATTTAATTTACATTGCAGTTGTGCTTTCTAGCAGATATTCATGACAAAGGGTTATTCTCAGAGACTGACAACTAATAGAAATGCTTAATTCCAAAGAAAGGCTGCTCTGAGCTGGTATTTAGTATTTGTTTTTGTTAACTAAGAGAATACACTAATATCACACGTCACTATATATCTAAGCATTTATTCTGGGGTTTGATTTTCATGTTTGATTTATGAGAAAACAGGACATGGAATTTTTAGTCACCTGATTCACTTTTTAATGTGTGCTTTGTGTCATGCTGCTTCTGAACAAAAATATCCAGAAGAACATAATTGTTTAAGTGGAACTGCATTGTGTCCTGCATATTTTAGGAAATATTATCAAAATATTCCTTGCATTTCAAGGCAGCTGATGTGCTGAACAGTGCAAATATCAACAGCAATAAATCAGCTGAGCTATTTTTTCCTTGCTTCCCTGTTCTTCAAGATTAGAGCTGGTTGATCTCAGATCTTCCCTCCCTCCCACCCACCTTTTACTCATAAAATGGGAAAGGATAAGCAAATTTTCCTGTTCTTTCAACTACCAGTTGTTTTCCCAACTTGGAATATTCTAGTCATTAAGTGATGTAAAGCAGACAAAATAAAAATAAGAAAATGTTCTTTTTTGCACCTGCAAAAAAAAAAAAAAAAAAAAAAAAAAAAAAAAAAAAAGAGGCTGCAGCTGTCAAAAGCTAGCTTATTACTCAAGAAACTCCAATTCCAGGTGTCTAGTTAGTAATTTCTCCCCTTTAGTGATTTGACATTCTTCAATTTTGGCAATAAATATATACTCAGTTGTTATTTTTATGAAAGAAGTTTTTATTAAGAAAATAAAATTTTATGTTGGGCATTCATAACAAATTTGTCATGGTTCCAGGACACAGGACTTCAAGTTTTATTTTCAGAAGAAAAAAATATTAATTTAAAAATTCAAAGATGAATTAATGTGTGTTGTAAAAACACACACTGATTTCTTGGCACTAAGGAGCCACAGACAAAAGGACAAGAACGTGAATGGACTAATTGCCATCTATTTTAAAAGGGAACACAACAAAAACGCTGTAGATTTATATTTTCTAGAGGATTTTTCTCCTGCCCTCAACTGACAAATTATGATTTTTGCCACCTTGATAGAGATTCTTCCCTTACCCACAAAGAAAACACTGGGCAATGAGCCCTCCCCACACCAGAATTCTCACACAACATGACAGAAAAGGCACAGCTCTCAAATCAAAGCGTTGTTTCTTAATCCAAATACTTATTCTCAATTCTATCTAAGCCTCTACCTGGTTAGTAATTAGTTACCTGAGTTCATATGGCTGCTGGGTAAGAGCTTTCCCACCCAGTTACCTGATGCAAGTTTACAGCACAGTTTTTTAGGGCAGTGATTTGTTTCAGTGGACTCAATCTAAAGGTTGGACACTATTATTTTGGAAGTCTTTTCCAAACTGAGTGATTCTATGAATCCCATCCACATCAGCAGGACAGGCCATCAGCACTGACTGCTCAGACAGGCTGGCAGGAGGGCAGGGCTGGGGTCTGCACATTTCCACTCTGGGCAGCAGCACCAGAGCACTCACAATGCCCTCTGGAGCTGGGTAATAATTTCCCCAGGTTATTCTTGTATTTCACTAGCAAATCCTGTTCTGTGGCCCAAAAATCTGTAGAGTAACAGAGATCACATAAGAAATGTCCAGACTGCACTCTTCAGTGGGAATTTACATTAAGTCCTTCATTCCTTAGTCAGCCCCCAGAACATGCAGCCTTATAATAATTATAATAATAATTATAATAATTTTCAATCAGTTTTCTGAAATAAGAGACATTTGTTTTAATTTCTGCATGAAGTGCTGAAGATATCACCTGGTACTTAGTTACTGGTAAGAATTCTGTGTTGTTGATTAGAAAAGAATGAATTCTGCAGTATGGTAAGAACTTGAAACTAAATAAAACAAGCAAGTTAACTTTTCAGCAGTTCTGAGTGTGCAGCACAGGAATATGCTCACCCAAAAGATGTGGGAGCACTGGGAAGAGGCAGGCACTCACCTGGGAGGGAGCAGGACAAAACACCCAGCTGACTTTTCCATACAGTCTTGCAGAAGTATTTCCTAATCAAATGAAAACCTGAGTGAAAAAAAAATTCAAATGAAAATTTGATAAGTAAACAAAAAACTGATAAATGGGTAAAAGTGTTTCTGTGGAATGAGATTTTTTGCTTACTCTAAACTTCGGAGCAGGCACAGACTAAAAAGAGGTGCCAAAAGCAGTAACTGAGGAGCTGTCACTGTGCTGCAGTTAGGGACACACACCCACAAGTTCCCCTTAGCAATATCTCCTTTTCTGCTGAAAAGCACCATAGCTCCCAATTCCTCTGTGCAAGTGTCAGCCTACCTAGAACTGACAACTCAAACGTGCAGAACAGAAAAAAGGCATCAGCAAATACCTCAGTCCTGTATTTGGAAGCTGCATTATACATTCAAGACCAATTAAATACTTTAAAACTTCAGTGAGTACCTGCAAGAGTTTTGTCTGCTAAGTCCATCAAGTTTGCAGAACTTGCACAGGAGAATTGCAGAGGAATTTTGCAAGGGAAGGCTCAACACACAGATGTAATTTTTATGCTTTGGAACACATAGGAAATTCCAGCAATCATTGAATGAACTCTGAATGCCTTGCTGAAAGACATACATTAAGCAAACATAAACCACTAAGTAAATACATGGAAAAAGTAGTGCCTTGGAAGAAATAAACAAATGATATATGGCATCAGACTAAACAAGCTAGTGCAAGGCCAAGATAGAGCAGCTATCTCTGAAATCACTAGGAAGTAATCATAAAGAAACACTTGAAATAATAAATAAAATAGAAGAAGTAGTTCTCTTCCCCTACCACTCATGTCTGAAGCACTGCAGAGTGGCTTAGAGCTGGACATATCGTTTTCCTATGCTGACAGTGAAAGATGCTATACTGTGTCCACTGTACCTGGTCATCAAGAAATTACCTCTGCACAAGGATTCTTCATGTGCACAAAGCTGAGGAAATTAGGCTGCTCCTCCCAGGCAGCACTGGCTAAAGCAGACAGGGGTGTCTGAGGAACCACCACACTCCTGCTCCTGATAGTGAGGGGATCCCCAATTTTGGAACAAGCCTGGCATGCACCAAAGCAGCCAATGCTCAAATGACAAAATGATGAATATGGTACATTCCATCCTAACCTGATCCAAATTTCAGGTTGGCTTCCCTGACACCAGCAGCTCATCAAGATGTCTGTGCTGGCTAACTATTTCACCTCCTGTGTGAGGAAGGAAAACTAAACAAGTAAAACTAGCTGACATCAGGAAAATTGAGAAGCTGTAACTCATACAGAATTGGCCCAGAAATAATCAGATTCCTCACTCCTTTATTTGTTCCTGGACCAGATCCATTCTGTCCAGATAAACTCCTCCTGAGTGCACTACACAGCTCTGGTGTAATGAAGTGATGGGTCATGCTGGTGCTATCATATCCAGGATTTATGAGGAGACATTATCACCTCAAATAGGGAATTGGAGGGGGTAGAGAGATTGTGGCTCTGCAAACAAGGCTCCGAGGCATGTTTAGATGGGTGGCATGCAATCAATCAAATTAAGGTGCTGTGCATGGATGTATCTCCAGTGACCTCAGAGAGAATTCCAGCACACACTGGTGCAGGATCTGTTGGTTAGGAATTCATTAACCATGCACATGTATTAGCAAAAGCAGGCACACCTCCTACAGGTAATTCGGCATATTTCCTCTCCTTTCCCAAAAATAAAATGTTCAGTACTGATACCAAAGCTGCCTTCCCTGCTGATCCCCTTTTGTCCCTGTTTGGCACGTTACTTGCATTCTCCATTCAGCAGCAGCTGTGCATAACTGGTCAAACACTCCAAGTTGTTTGTCAAAGTTTTCCTAAGGCTTTTCATCTCCTGTTTTCCCATGAGGTGCCCAAACACAAGTCATCTCTGTTGGCTTTTGGTGCACATTAATTCTGAGCACAGCGTCAGAACTGGCAGGTAATCAGTTAGCTGGAGGTTAAAGTGGAGCATTTTTTCCCTAACAAGGGCAATAAAAAGGTGGGAAAGATATTTCTGAATTAGAACACTTTTATTCAGGTAATATATTTCCTAGAGGCACACCTTTAATACCAGCTCATGGACAATTCTTTCACTAGATGCAATCTGAAAAGCCACTGGAGGTGGAGGAAAGCTAATCAAAGCAGAATGTCTGATTTATCACTTCTGAAATGCAAGGTGGGGGGGAAAACAAACTGCAGCCTCAAGGCTTTGGGCACTGAAACACTGCACCACCCTGGATCCATGATGACAGGAAGAGGAATCCTCCAGCTAACATCTCTCACACTTGTCCTCAGACTGTGGGAGATGTTACAGTGAGGGCACAAGGAGGAAACAGGGACCCTGAGGAGCAAGGGCAGGAATGCAGGGGCTAAGAGCACTCAGCTGGCAGCACGACACAGGAAAAGGGGTTTGGGGGTCTGACCACACACAGCTTTTGTCACACAGTGAAGAGGGAAATAGATCATATCTGCCACATCTTGTAGCTCTCATCTATAGCCAGCTAATTGGTAACAGGAGTTTTATATAAAGATGAACTCCATGGAATCTTTTAACATGAATAACGCTCAAATAATTTATTTGATTTTTGAGCTGTCTCCTAGGAAACAGTCCATTTGTGTCAGCATTAAGGAGTAGGATGCCATGCATAGTTAGGAATGCCTGTTAACCTCCACCTCTGAAATGCTCACCCCTACAAGACAGGAGGAGAGAGGGCAGAATGGGACCTGATATCGAGGTACCATCCGTGGGAGCCTGGCTCCTATTTGTGCTTCAAGAGTTCTCACACCAAATTTATGCCCAAATTCTGTCATGTGGTGTCAGGCCAAGTGGATGCACAGGTATCTGAGTGAGGTCAGGAATTAATTTGACACATTATGGCTCCAAATTCCTCAATGATTTGTGGATGTGAAAAACCCTCCTACCCTAATCGACAGGAATATTCATGTGCATGAAATTGGATGGGTAAAATCAGGGTAAGTCTCCAGAGAAACAAAACGATGTAAAGGCTGTTATTTATCCTGGCTATGCTATTTTTCTGAGAAGGAAAAAAAATGAAAGAGGAAAGATTTGAATTACAGCTCTTTGATGGGTAACATAGCAGTAGACAGGTTAGTCCTTGTAATCTGCTGGCACCATCAACAGAGCACTAAATCAAATATGTTTTTACTCATCTATTAATGCAATCCATTGCAATGGTTATTCAATATTTATGTTTGTGCGAATTACTGCATATTTCATTCTCTTTTGAAAACCAGGGTAGTTGAAATAGTACAGAATTTTATCTGACAGAGCTTTAATCTTTTGCTTATCATGGTTTCACCTGAACTGTTGTTCTGAAAACTAAATAAATGAGGTTTTGGTGAGATAAGAAGTTCCAGTATTAGACCCTGATACCATTGGTCATGGTGCCATGATACACCTGACATTCCTTATAAATAATAAGTGTGTGAAGATCTGGTTTTTTGACTGCCTGTATTAGTTTGAAGAAATAGCACTCACCATGCTGAGTAACATTTAACACTGCTCATACTGAAGTCAAAGTAGCAAAATTCCACTCTTTAGGAAGTAAAGATAACCACTTGCAGAAGTCAGGAAAGACTTTCTTCTCCACTTACAGGAATAGACATAGTCTGCAGCTCTTCTCAGCTAGTCATATCCATCACGGCACTCTCAATTTGGTACAAAGTATCTCAGAGAAAAATAGATCAGACTTCTCTAAATCAGACTATGCCTGCTGCTACACCCTAGCACTGAGATTGTAACTCAGCATCTTGTTCCACTCTGCAGTAAAGAACCGTCTGAAAGTTAGATTGGAGGACAAAATCTGCAAACAGACTTTAAGCGAAAATCACCTGACATCTTCTAGGTGCTCACCATTTCTAGTGTGCAGGTGAAAGAAGGTTTGCAACTTCTGTGGCTAAAAAGCTTTGTTCTTCAACCTTGTTCCCAAAGAAATCTTGTAGTATATACGTTAAGTCTAGTCCCAGGCCCAGGAAGATGAGAGAGACATCAAGAAAGTGCAGGAAGACATCAGCATGATTTACAATTCAGTTTTCAGAATCACTGGATATTTTTCTTTGTTTATTCTGTACAGGAGCAGTCAAATGGAGAACTTAGAATGACCTTAAAAAACTGAAAACAGAAACAGGAGACAACTCTTAATGCTGCTGTGCCATAATCCATGCAACCCCAAACCATTCTCCAAGGCAAGAAATAGAAAAACCCCATCAAGGAAATAGTTCCATAAAACAGAAAAACAAAGCATAAACAGAAAAATAAAACCAGACGCCAATGTGTACTCAAAGGAGCTATTAAAAGCAAAATGCTTGTCAGTATAGGATGCTCCACTGCACACATCTGGTGCTCTCAGCAATACAGAACATTTCTTTAATTGCTACACCTGAGACCAAGAGCAAGAAATAAATCTAGACACTGATCTCAACTTTTTTGGAGACAGGTAGAGATGAGTAGCAGCACAAGGACTTCATTGATGATAATCAAGCACTTATGCATTACTGCACTGAACAGACATGCTTGGGATAGACCTATGCCTCTAAAATTTGATGTCTGTTTTTCAAATCCTTCTGGTGCCAGACACTGCAGAGCTAACTGTGATAAGCCTCCCATGTGGTATATATCATCCAATACTTTTTGCACCATCCGAGATGTCAGTTCAGCAATACCCAGTGGAAGAGGCAATGGACGAGATGTCAGAGCAGCTGGACTGACTCCAGCCTGTTGCTTCTTCTCATGGGTTGTTGAGAGTCACTGAACTTTTCTTTCCTGTTTTATTTACTCAGACTCTAAGTACTGGGTGCATGTTTAGACAGCACCTTGCATGATGGATCCTCATTCTCTCTCAGGCTCTTAGAAATGTGTATGTCAGGATTATTCACATTTCGTGACTTTGACTTTTCCTGACAACAAACAGTGAAGCCTATGTGTTTATTGAGAGGAAAGAATTCAAAGACAGGCACAGCACAAGAAAAAGCATAACTAACACTTGCTCTGAGAAACTGTTTGGTGTTTCTAAGCTGGAAAATTAACTTGCTCAGCAAGTCCTCTTGCTCAGGATCTCTGTCCTTCACCTCTCAATAGGATGGTGAGAGGTTCCTCACGATTTTTTTAAGTGGTGTGAGTCCATGCAAAGGGTGGGTAAAATACTGAAGTTAAAATGTTCACATCCTTATTAGAAGCAATATGTTTTGCTCTGAATCCAAGCTGAATATTCTGAAATTGATTTTAATAATTTCTTTCGGAGTAACATCAAGGATTTCCTTTTCTTGACTCATTTGCTATAGCTTGTCCTTTGTGAACAGTGGCATATCATTGCCAGCTGTCATTATTACCTATACATTTCTCAGCTGTATTTCATGGAGACCATGTGACCTGGTACTCCATTTACCCCAAATATTCAGTTCTCAGCCCTGCCATTTGCCAAATCTGAAATGACATATCTTGAACTATGTTAACTACCTCAGAGCATTCTCATCCTTCACAAAATGAAATTTTAGCCATTTGTTGCCTTACAGCATATTTGAGGTCAGGAAAAAATATTAGGTTCTCATTCTTCAGGTGGGTACTCAGGTGCAAAATCAATTATAATCACATTCTTAGGACTGACCAGTACTAAATATAGGGTGCCCTTTCATAAAACACATGCAGAATAGGATATCAGCAACTCCTCTCCTGAAGACCACTGGCTCATTTTATCTGCATCTGCTATAGACAATGTCAAAAGATGTTATCTCAAAATTGTTATCTCAAAATTAAGATCAAGCCTGAGACTTGCTGATCCCTCCTTCTTTTGATGCTCAGGGGAGCTGGACATATTTTGAATGTCTGATTCGGTCTGTAGGGAATGTAATGCTTTTTTAACCAAGCTGGAATTTTGACCTAGAAAAGAATACCAAAGCACATTAATTATCTTGAAATGTGCTCTAATGCTGAATCAGAAGAGAACAAACTCAAGTCAAAATTCAAATGGTGAAAAAAAACCGAACCAAAACAAGAATACCCACAACGTTCAAAATGCCAACTATATTGGTCATAAAAAATTTTCTTATGATAGTTGTTATACGACAATATATTTTCATAGGTACCTAAACATAGATCATACATTTACTATGCCAGTAAGAGTTAATAAGGAGAGCATTTACAGTGATGCAATTCCATTTTTCCCCATCTTTAAGAAACTCCTGAGTCACTGGATTTGCAGAGCACATGTACCTTTCTCTTTCATGAAAGATTCCCCTATACAAAGATTTGTGACTAGTTCAATGACAGGAAATTCTTTTTTCCGGTTTAGAAATATCCTGAACATCACAAAGTTGAATTTCAGACTGCAAATACCTCTTCATTGTGCAACTGTCTTTTCCTCAAAACCACGTTAAACTTATTTAAGGCTTTTATTTCAATTTAATTTAAAATAGATTTCCTGAATAGATGAAAAGCCTTTGGGTTTTCTCCTGGCCTTCCCCTTGTTCCTACTTCCATGTAACGATGCCATAATGATTCACTATTTGATGTTCTCTGGTTTCAGACTTACACTATAATTGCCTAATTTCTTATGAGAAAGGCAGATAAGGAAATATTTCAAGAGGCTTGTAAATAGCTGACAAGGACCACAAGACTGCAGTTACATTTAATTTATAGCTGAAGTGTTTTGCTGTGCTAGCTGAAATATTGTGTTTGTATAGTTTTTCTGTGCAGCCTGTATCATTTATCACTCAGTAACCAGCGTGAACTACACATCTTGCTTTAAAACCTCCAAGTATTTTCCTAGTTACCACTACAGCAAGGTATAATATTCTTCTGGAGAACCTACAGTGGAATAATAAATTGCATGACTGAGTAAAAGACTCTCCTCTTTGATTTAACTCTAACCAGTCTTACCAACTAGAAGTTTCCAGTCCTGCATGGTTGCTTGGCTTTCCTGTGCCAAATGAGCCAGAGTATGGTCTCATCCAGATTTCAGCCTCTTAAAAGTAGTTTTCTTAACTATTTTTTATTGCACTCCTGCAAAATAATTGAAGAAATAAAACCTTTAAGCCGTGTACCAAAAGCTGAACTTGCAATATCTTTCCATCCTGGCATTTAACTCTAAGAGGGGTAAGGGTTATGCAATATATCCAGCTCCCAGCATCGTGCTGCTGCTCATATGATCAGTGTTACAGGTGGTGGTGCTTATGCCAATAAGGAAGTCAATGAGAAAAGCCAGGCTGGTTCATGTTTTGTAAGAAAGAGAATTAAACCCTACATTCATCAACTGGAAAAAAACAAACATTAGAAAGGAAAGAATGGGTTCAAAAAAAAAAAAAGAAATTCAAGAAAGAAGAAGGAAACTATCATAGCTAGAAATATCAATGAATAGTGTCAGACATGGCTATTGTGTAATGCTGCCTCGTTTACATGATTTATGTTAATATTGTTAGTTACTTCCTGAGCAATGGCTGAAATAAGGATTTATAAGGATATTTAAAAACAGGGTGAAAAGGTGGAGAGAGGAAAGTTCAGAAATCCGGAATAACTTGAGTTTAGAGGGGTGTCTACAGATCTCTGCCTTGTTCACTGGTGAAAACTTGAGGCCTTGTGAAAGGATTAAATGCAAAACAACCCCACCAAGATTTTAGTCACAGCAGATAGGTAATTCTTTACTGGGAGGATGGTGAGGCCCTGGCACAGATTGCCCAGAAAACCCAAAAACCTGTGGATGCCCCATCCCTGGAAGTGTTCAAGGCCAGCTTGGATGGGGCTTGGAGCAACCTGGTCTAGTGGAAGATGTCCCTACCCATGGAATGAGATGATCTTCAGGTCCCTTCCAATCCAAACCCTTCTATGCTTCTGAGATCACAGAAGTGAGAAACATTTGGTATTTTAGGTTCAGTCCAGTCTGTCTTTACTTCTGCATCTGCAGAGTTTTTCTTTGCAAACAGTGATAACCAGGTAAAAGTGAAGGACTTGCAGGTAAGAGCAATTTCTCCAGTTACCTACGCTCACACCTGTGTAGAGGAGAAATGAAATTGTGTGCATCATTCCCAGCTTTGGGAGAGTCCCCTTTCCCTCCCCTTCCCCACAGAAAGCAGTATAATCCTTTAAGTGGAGCTATGGTTAAAACCTACCCAAACACCACACAGACAGGTTTTGTTCTGACACATGTGGTGGTGTGCTATTTATTCTCTTTCTGACTAAAATTAATTGTAGTTAAGCACTCGACATTCCTCTCTGAGAACACTTCTGGTTTGGCAAAAGTTCAGCGAGAGTTAAAGAATCACTCACCTCCCAAAGCTATTCTAACTGGGAGAAAAAGAGGATGGGCAGGCAGAGCAGGTTGAAACACATGGATTAATTGGTGCTAAAGTAAATTAGTATATCTAGAGAGAAGAGTAGAATAAAAGGAGGGGGCTGTAAGCATGGATTGACCTTGAACTGCTCTAAGAAAGGATCGTAGATGAATTCCTTTGTTTCCTACTTAATCATTAATTACTGCTGGTGTTTTGCAAACACAGGCATGCCTACACCAGGTAATGCAGAGGTGTGCTGGAGATCCCCAAGGCACAGAGAAGAGGAAACAAGCCCTTCTGCACAGAGCACTGCTGGACCACAGACAAACCACTCCAGGCCCCCAAAAGAGCATCACCTCAGAGAGACATCTCACTTGGGTACAGTACCTGATCCAGCACTTAGAGCCTGTCTGCCCATGAGAAAAAGTGTGGGATGGAGACAGTCACTGAATAGAAGAACACAAACACATTTCTTCAAAATATAGAAAATAAACATCTACGTTAGATTGCCTTGGTTTCTCTGGGCCTGTTTTACAAGGGAATATTCTTGAAAATCAGATTCAGTGTCTGAGATGGATTATTTTGTGCTAGTTGACAGTCTGTGAACATCTCAAATATTGCCCATGAGAGGAATAACCCCATCGAGGAAGATTGCTTGCTCTATAGACAGACCTCCATTTCAGTCTCCTCACACAGAATGTCCAGTAGAAGAAGTGTCAGAGTGCATGGTCACAAATGATCAGTGAGGCAGGTTTACCACCTAAAATTCTGTAGATCTCAGCAAGAGCCCAGACCAAACTAATTGCAATGGTGCTGCCTCCCAACCTGAGAGCCTCACTGCTCACCAGGACCACAGAGACAGTCACCAGATGCAGATGTGGACAGCACAGGCTCAGCAGAGCCAGGACCTGGGGTATTTTTTGTTCAGAAAGTTTCCACTGCTCCCTTTGGGAACGTGGCAGAAGGAAGCTCAGACAGCATCAGGAGATTCTGCCATGCCCTCAGTAGATTGGTTTGTGTGTACCCCATGAACAGCCTCAGCTTTGGTGCCTGGTGTGATGCCTAGAGAGGCTGTCTGTCTAACAGAGGTTAGACAGTGTTAAAGGAATAAAGCAGGCATTTATTAAAAGGCCGTGGCTACACCCAAGATGGATGGCTTGTCACGAGTTTTCACACTTTTATAAGTTTTGGTCCATTTGCATACTGGGGGTTAATTTTCCAATTCCAGCTCCATGTTCTGCAGTCCCATCCTCCCAGATTCTCTCCTCAATTCACTGTTTGCACTTTTTGGGCCTGAAGCTGCAACAATGTCCTTGGTTCTCAGGCTGGAAAAGGACTGTTTTGTCTAACTAGACTGTGAAGAGAACTTGCTAACACTTTATATGCAGTTCAGTCACACACCAATGCAGTACAGAATCTGAGAAATAGAAAAGCTAAAACTTGAGGCATCAGGTGCTGAGTGAAGATACCAGAACGTGGTTCCCAAAGGAAAGTCCCTGAGGCTGCTCATACCTCACCCCATCCTTTAGGGATCTCCAGAGGACATGAAGTCCCTGAGAAAAAGGAACAAATCTAATAGCTTTTCCCACTTAAAAATAAACCCATTAATGAGAGGAAGCAGGGCAGGTGGCTCATTTCCCGAGCTCTGCGACGCTGATTGCAGGGCGAGTCCAGCTCTGATACACTGGCCAGGTCGGGGCCATTGTCCCATAGACCATGCACAGGAAGGAGAGCCCAGCAGGTCCCAGCACCTGGGGCCACACCCTGGCACCCCAAACCTCGGTGGGACCCACAGATCCCTGTGCACAGCCAAGCAAATTTCCCCTTCTTTGCTTTCTCTATTGATGTTTGACCACCTGCTGCACCAGCAGAACACTGGAAGCTGCTGCTTCCAATGGACTCCAGACACTCACAGGAAAAAAAAAATAAATAACCACAACCCACGCGTTTAGTACACATATGAGAAATCAGTGACGTTTTCCTCTTCCGTGGTTCTGGTTAAAAGAGTAAGCACCAAACCGGGGAGACGAATCACTTCCCATCCCAGATACTGTATTTAGGGATGTGCTTATCTGGAAAGCCATGCCAGGAACACTATGAGCAGGAAAGCACTGCTTGACAACTAAGCCCTTCCTCCCAATTTAAGACATTTTGTGACCTCCTGGGTCTTTCTTTAAAGAAGCCTTTCCCTTCTATCAGTCTGGCTCCCTGTTCTCTGTGGCAGTGGCTGATAAATTAAGATGACAGTATGGATTGATGAGGCTGAATCTGCCTCCATCCTGGCTCATCTCTCTCCTTGACGCTGCAATGAAGCCACTGTCCCAGTGTGTGTCCAAGGAACAGTCTAAGCTGTCATAAATCCAGCTTTCCCAGCAAGATCAAGAAGGAGGAGGGCTCTCAAAGGCCTCTGCTGAGGCAGGGGAAGCTGTAACAAGTGTGTGAAAATTAACTAGATTCATGTTTACATTTGCTATAGCTACACATATGGGCAGAGGCAGTCATGCATTGCTTGGGTCCCACCAGATGTGAAGGGTTTGCAGCTGGGAAATCCCTTTTTGTTCGTGTCACCCAGCCCGAGTTCCACTCCTCAGCACACCAAGCACAGCTCCCAGCAGGGGATGACAAACCAAATGCTTGCACCTGTGTTGTGCAGACATGTATATCCAGAGATTTTGCTGGCCACTGTGAAAACAAAGCCTCTAACACATGGATTCAATGAAAATAGGGTGGGCAAAGCTCTGCCCCCACACGCTTGCAGAGCTCAGTAGGAATGAGATGTGTTCATCCTGCTGGTTTGGGATGTCACACATCGCTTTCTAGTAGCTGCTCCAAACATGGGATGAGCATTTCTTGCTCCTAACTCAGAGCATTTCCCTGTCTGCCTCCTGGGAGCTGCTTATGCCCTCTGTGCAGAGCACAGGGAAAGGCTGGCTGCAGATGCATCACTGCCCTGTCTTCAGAGGGAAAGCAGCAGCAGCAGCAGTTTAACTCCTTTCTCCCCACTGTCAGAAAACACAATTGCATCAGAATGAGCCCATCATTGAAAAAGTTACATTTGTCAAATTGGCATTACATTTGTCAGACTGCTAAGTAGCTCACAAACTGAGGCCAAGGATTGTGATTCCTCTGAGCTTTCTGGTACTCACTCTGACTGTCAATTTAATACCCCAGCAGAACAGGGCTCCTCTCCACTGTTTTTGGCTGAGGATTGAGACTAGATTAATTAAAGTGACTACTTTAATCTTGGAGTTTATGAGTGAAAACTGAGCATCATAAAATGGAGAAATATGTTTTTTGCCCTTAGTATTTTTTATACTTCCCGGGAAAATGTCTAAATTGATGACAGCACAATATCTCTCTTAGTTCTGGCCTTACCTTCACTGTTTTCTGTAAATGAAAAAGGGGAGGGAAAGGTTCAGATTTGATAGACTTCAAAACTAAATATGTTTCCATATAGCCATTTGCAGAAACAATCATAGACTTTCATCAGTTTCCCTCTTCTGGAGGATTAATAATCTGTCATATAAGATGTCTTTTTGCCATTTTGTTAAGGAAAAACCACAAGCATTAAACTTCTGCACTAGGTGCTAATTCTTTGACAGTTTGGGCTTTTCTCTGTGTTTAAGTAGAGAGTATTTGCCCTTCATTCAGGGGAAAAAAATCTTTACCTGGAAATCACCTTCTGTGCAATTACCTGTTAAGACTACAAATGGTGCAAGGCTTCATTACTTTGGAGAAGATTTTCATGTGGAAATAGCT